ATATAGTAATAATAAATCACAATTATAAACAAGACATATAAAATAATACCTTTTGTTGATCAGAAACAAATGCATATGGTTTCTGATTAAATCCTTGTAAATCTTACATAAGAATGTGTAAGAACCATTATCATGGGTCTTTGGTCTCAGATTCAACAATATCATATGATATTAGAAAGATTTGATTGTTATTATTCCTACATATTGCTGCCATTAATTGACCAACACATTCCCCTTTTAAAAAAAAACATCCAAACCCATAAGAGGCCTACATTTCTTTGCAAATCCCTCCTTGCAAGCCTCTAAAAAAATATAGATCCTTTCAAACACATGATTACTATTGGTTTCAACACACTTTTTAACAACATTTATATTAGGATTTAATTTTAGCAACTCTTATGCATAAGTCTCAAATGGGTGAATTGACCAATGTCAACACCTTGGACCAATTTCATTGCCTTCCTTTTGGCTCTATATGCATGATCATGGAATAATTTCACTCCCTGGATCTCAATTGATTCATGTCTGAGCCATGCTAGTTTAATATAAGGACTATGTCTAAGGATATTTGTAAGCTTTTGTACAAGCCACTTAATCTTTACATTTCTGTTGTATGCAATCTCATGGCACGTATGATCATCAATAAAAATCACTATTTGCAAAAAAATAGTGCCTAATCCTTTTACTAAATCTCATATAGAGCTTACAACCAGCCATGCATGGAATCATCATCCTTTTGGAATCATTCTTCTTAATGAACACTTTTTTTTTAATTTTCCATGGCATAATCCATGATAGCATCCCTCATCACCTCCTAGTTTGTAAACATCATCCTTAAATAAAACTTCACTTCATCACCACTCTTATAATAGGACACTTCACTCCCTATTCATCATTATCACTTTTGTGAAGGGTATACGAATGGTAAGAATCTTCACATTCTTCTTGATCCATATCAGCTACTACTTTGTCTTTGTTGCCACTAGAAACCTCACCTAAAGTCTTAAGAGGTAGTACTTTAGTCTAGTCCATCTCCTCAGATTCTTCACTAAATTGAAACTCACTATCCTCAAAACTATTTTCACTTGCAACATAATCCTCATCAATTCCTTCTTTAACATGTTAATTATTAACACCAACATTAAGAATATTATTTTCTTCAACATGTTTATTATTATCATCAATATTAAGAATATTCACTTCTTTAACATGTTCATTATCATCAACAACAATATTTTCCCTTCTAAAACCAACACACTGTATATCAACATTGTGACACCATAAAACCTCACTCTCAAAATTATAAGGAATAAAGCAGTTAACAATCATTTCATTTAGGATGTCACACAATCTCCACAAACAATTTGCTCTGCAATACTTATTAATATAAACATTTATTTAAAACACATGTCATCACATGCTTGCCTTTACTTAGGCTAATTGTAGCGAATTAATCATTAAAACAAATACTCAATTAAATAAGTTCAAACATAACTTTTATATAAAATTAAACTCAATCAAGGCAATATGCCTTCAACATCTGAGCTACAAGCCCTAATATCTAAGCTTGGGACAAGTCACTAGTACCAACATCTGAACTAATGACTCGCCTCTTTCACAACAACAATAAACTATGATGCATGTACAACCATAATCACAACAACTCAACAACATATTTACAGTTCAATATCTAACTGTAAATATAAACATCAAAGTAATCCCCACAACGAGACTACTCACCACAATCTCAATTATATGATCATCACAAAATTATCTCATCATCAACATAATGCAACATCATTAGGTTAATCAAATAATCTAATTAATGAACCAATATTCATCAAAATGCACAAAACAACAGCCAAACATTGACCGCACGACAAAATCACACAAAAAATCCAACTCAGCAAGCCAAAACGCACCTACTGACATGATGACGGGTAGCCCGTCACCAGAGTGATGCCTGTCACCACCCTTTTCCCTCAATCGTCACCCCTGTGACAACCAGCAAGGCTCTACGTTTTCCTGGAGACCATGAGGTCTCCCCGTCAGATAGTTGACGTCTGTCAACGTCCCAAAGCGCATGACGACCAGGTCGTCACACAGGTGACACCTATCACTCTATTAACAGAAGCATAATTCATTTTATGCTATGGAGTTCAATTCAGAACTCCTATTTTTTGCCCCCGACCCTCCAATCAACCATAAACAGCAAGGAAACAACATGTTATCATCACAACCCACATACCAATTGATTATTATTCAAATTCACCAATTAATCATAATCTTTAACATTTTATTCATCATGTTCATGCCAAACATATGAAAACAACTCATACCACTATTATGAATTCAAACACCTAATTTTCATGGTAAATTAGTACACGAATTTCAGAATAATTATAGTAATTACATCATATTATCAGAATAATTTCACCCATATCACCAAACATTCAACAATGGAAGAAAATAAGGAAAAACCTAATGGAGATTAAGTTTTTCCCCTGCCTAGCATGAAATTGACACCATATTTAGAGTAATCTCTCCCATACCTTGGATTTTCAGTAGCAGCTCTAAGCTCTACATAAATGGTGGTCTCTTCCTCTTCCACAAGCCTTGGGTTGCCTCTCTTACCTTTTCTCCCCAAAAAGATACCTACTAACAACTCATAGGTTTCTAATTCCTTTTTATTAGAAAACCTAATTTTATCTCCTACTAATTACACTATGGTACAACTTCTCTCCTAATTCTCACAATCACCTTATTTTTCTCATAAATTCTATTTTGCACCAAAAACCTTTATTCTCTATTTAATTTTAATGAATTAAAAATAATTATTAATTCTAATTATTTCTAATCATTTTATCAACCCATCAATACTCTCACTACACCCCACCAAATACCACATACACATACAACTCATAATATATTTGATTGAAAGTGCACCACATACTAAATAATTAAATAAAAAACACAAATAATTTGAATAAATTAATTAATCAAATTTCGGAGTGTTACAATCATCATCATCAAGGTTAGTACCCAACTCACTTGCATCACCAATCTTAGGATTATCTATATTGTGCTATGCATACACATCTATTACCTTAATGCCTATGACATCTTTGACAAATTGAAGAACATCATGATCATTATTAAGGGTTTAAGACCATGCGAAAAGCTAAATTTAGGGTTCTAATACCACATATACCTTATGTCTTTATAACCCTCACTTTTAGTTAAACTTTCAAATTCCATGTATGACATGTATTCCACATCCCACTTCTAATTCATCTCAAATACTTTCCCATCAACATATCATTTAACAGGTTCCTCAACTAATATTACTCTATGATGTAACTTTAATCTTGACCTAATCTTATGTATCTTAGCTGGCACGAGAGTTAATCAAAAAATAAATTGTATAAATTAACATGCAATAGGACAAAAAAACTGACAACAAAACAAGTGGGACCACAAGTTAACATAGAAAAAAAATCATCATGGACCACAACATACGAATGAAAGAAGAAAACAAGTCGGACCATGGTGCTTGTAAAGGGAAGAAAAAAACATACCTTGCACAATACTTGACTTCTTCTTTATTATCCCATTGAGTACGTGTTTTGTCCATCTTCACATGAACGAACTTTGAATCCCCAAAAAACAAATGTTGCAGCTTAAATGAACTACAATTGATTGAGTTACAAGGGTCGTAGATTGTGATTGAACTTAGATCCAGTTGAGCTACGATGGTGATTGAGCTTGGATTCAATTGAAGTTTGAGATTTGGTTGAAGTTGAGATTCGATTAAAAGAAAAAAAGTAAAAAGAAATTAGAGTTCATTCCCTTTGAGAAAGAGCGTGGATTAGGACTCACTTCTTTGTTTCAAATACAATATATTCTAAATTGATATAAATAGCACATTTAAATTGTGTTAATATTTTTTTAATAAAAATTTTATTTAAAATTTAAAAGACATATAAGTTGACCTTGCACCACTATAGAAGTGTCACATGATAAATGAGGAGATCACATATACAAAAGTGATAGATCAAAAAAATCCAAATAATAATAATAAAATTGAGGAATTAAAAATAGGATGACTCAAAACACTTAAATAGGAGAACCAACACTATATTTAAACCAAAATTAATTTTGATTATACTCAAGATATCATAGACTAATTCATCTAGGGTTAATTATATTTTCAATCTCTATAAAATTGAGAGCTTTTAAATTTAGCTTCAATTAAACTTAAATTAAACTCGTAGTTATCCACCACATTGCATTTTGTAAGAATAATCACTTTTTTACTTCTTTTACAAAAAATATATAAATCCCAACATAGTCCTTATAAGATAAAAATAGACAAATAAATGGCTTTTTTTGATATATCTAGCTTAAAAAACTCTTGAATTCGTAGAACTTAATATCATAATTAACCCATTATCTTTTACTCATTTTAGGGGACATTGTACTGTATTTTAGGAGTGCATTGGAACTTTTCCTTAAAATCCAACTTACAATGGAAGAAGCATTTCTTAAACCGATTGTTCTTGTCACAAGTTATGTTTGGTTTAGCATTAAAAAAAACTCTACATATAGATTGTCAATAGAGTTTCTTTGACCAATCAATATACACTTACAAGTTTTTCAACCAAGCAAACTTTCAGATATTTAGTTTTTTCACCATAGTATGAACTGGAGCTTAGGTAATAACATGGAGGTCGCAAAGATAATAGGGAAAGGTGGAAAGCAGTTTCCATCTAAACAACATGGTGTTTTTTTGTACATAAAAATTCAGGACAGTAAGAACAATTACCAGCTTCAAAGCATAGCATACAATAGAATGAAAAATGATTTTGAAGTACATATCAAAAGGATAGGCTGGTCAGAATCCTAAAATTCTTTTCACCCACAGAGGTGAAAGTTCCACATCTTTCTATATTGGTGTTCAGCATTACAGATATCTTAATTGAAATTTCTCAGTATAAATATCAGCCTAATCTTGCTTCTCTGCGTAACACCTGCAAGATAACCCAAAACAATCAGTTAAATAAGTATGGTGGCAAGGAAAAAAACAATCAGTTAAATAAGTATGGTCGCACGGAAAAAAACAATCAAAATCAATAACAATTTTACCTCTTCGGCAAATTTTATCAAAATGGTTGTCCGAGGTCGTTGTTGGCCTTCCATGGGCACAAAATGAGCTGTTACGACAGCTGGAAACCCGGCACCGTCCAAAACACCCTGATGAAGAATTGAACAGAACAAAACAATTGATTGGACCTTTCTCAAAGAATCAGATAAGTAGTTGATGGTAACTGAGCAAAGTGGCTCACCCGGACTATTCCAGCAACGAATGCACCGCAGTTAAATGTTCCCATGTCTTTTGGGATAGAAATGAATCTATAAACCAGATGTTCGTCAGTTTACTACTGATTAATGTTAAAATATCCAGTATGTTAAACAGTCAGAATAATTGTGGAGCCTAAAATTACTTGTTTACTAGGAGTTCTTTTTCACTGATCATGTATTCATCTTCGTGTTCAGTTCCTTTCTCCAATGAATCAGCTACCTAATATAATGACAAAAAAACATAAATCGAAACTAAGGGAGCTGCCAAACAAGTAAGATATTTTCAACAAAAATGAGCATATAGTGCTACCAGAACAAAATATAAATTACCAAAGAACACCATCAAATATAACTGCAAGATACAGGACAAGTTATTAATGGTTATCATAGTTAATGCATTCTGATCCTGCATGTATTTAAGGTCTCCAACACCAGATCTGTAAAGTTGACCGAAAAACAAAAGAACTTTCAAAAAGCATATGGAAAATCACGATATAGAACACTACAACAGCAACAGCCAAGTCTTATCGTAGTAAGTAGGATCTGCTACATAGATTAAATGGCGCCATAATGTTCTGTCATATATATCATATCTCTATCCGATTCATTAATCTCTAGATCTTTCTTAATAATTTCTCTTATAGCATTTCAAAGTATACATCCGCCTCTAGGGATTTGATTAATTACCCTTCATCTGATCTATTCTCCTTCTTACTACTGAATTTATAGGTCTTCTTTCCTCATACCCAAACCACCTAAGCCAAGTTTCTACCATTTTTTCTATAATATAGAACATTCAATGAAAAAATAAACAGGTTTATCAAGAAGCAAGACTGAGTCAACTTGTTGATGATTCACTCTATGTAAACAACTAAATATTGCTAATTCAATAGGACATATCTTAGACGTAGAATATACTCTTGCGACCAATTTAGTGTTAAACAATAGCACAGTATATATTCGTTCAACATCTATAGAGTCTTTAAATTGGTACTGATTAGCCTTTTTTTCCCATCCCAGAAACCAAATCAAGGTGAACCTCAATATTCAAACCAGTTAAATATTGTGAATCCGTGCACCAGATTGCTAAAGTTAACAATCATTGCCTTTGTAGAATGAACAACCAAAACAACTTTGTGTGAAATAGTCTATCTAATCATTTTATGATGTCCGGCATGTTATAAAGCTTCATAGAACCTATTTTCCATTCTAAAAAGGCATACTACACCATGATGGAAAAAGGTCAAAAATAGTTTATTTTAAGCAAGGACAGTTCATGCCATTTTGTAACACAAAAATATAATTTACCTGTCCAATTAATAATAAATTAGGGGTCAATAGGAAATATAATCAAATTCTGATAAAGGGGCTAACCTTTCCAAATAGTACTTTCCACACTGTACTGTGTACAAAAGAAAGAATGCCCAACAACCGCGTCTCCCTCCTGTTTCCCTGTAGTTTCAGAAAATTATTGTTAGATCAATCGCGCTAACCCCAGGCAAAAAAGGGTGGACAATATATGCAACTAGCAGACCCAATTGATGTTCACGGATTTTCTCATCTTAGAGAGAGAATGACATGAAGCCAAAAGGGTGGACAGTATATGCAGACGATCAACTAGCACACCTAATGGATGTTCATAGATTCTCTCATTTTAGAGAGAGAGAATGACATGAAGCCAGAAGGGTAGACAAATATGTTGTTGCCAAAGAGATATTGAATGGTACAAAAGTTAATCTTGTCAGTAACAAATTGTCGATGGCAAATAATCATTTTCAAATTGAATACAGAGCATAGAAATGGTTAGGAAACTGTCTCAAACATTATACAGGATGAGTTGAAGCCAAGTGTTGCCTTTTCCCCTTTCCATTTCTGTGATAAATGAATTGAACCCGAGTCATATTTTGTACAATAAACCTTTTTTCATAATAAAAATATGAAGTTGGTGAAGTGAACTTCTATAGTTTTATTTACAAATGGGTGAATAAGTGTAAAAAGTCAACATGTTCTGGACATTCATTCACATGTGACAATATTTTTCTTAGAACTGTCAAATCTTTAAGAAACTAGGATATAAAAAAGTTTTTAGCTTCATTCTATGGGTATCTGAAAGTCAAACTGAAGGAACTGCTTGTGAACCAAATATCTAGGGAATTAGTAATATGTCAAGAAGCTGTGGATGCACTTCTTGCTATTGGAATCTGCAGACAACCAGTGACGGGTGGTTCATAATAAAGTTATCGCATCATTCTCATATATAGTCGTGAGGGCAAAGAGGGAAGATTTCAATAGGTTCTGTTTGAAAAACGAGTTTATTGTTCCGAGTGTTCTGTTAGCATCGCAATCCATCACAGAACACGGGTCTCCAAAACCCATTGTCGTAGATTCAAATCCTTATCATACAGAGCATGGTTCCATACTTGTTAGATTGAGACTGATACTAAAATAATAACACTCTAATCTAAAGTCTGAATTTGATCTTCGGTGACTTAGGATTGAAACAAAGAAATAAGAGATATTATTTAACCAAAGATCCAACTGATCACCACTACATAGAGTCCACTATCTCCTTGTCTTAAGTTTTAGGATCATCTAATTAAATTTCCTCAACACTTAATATTGATTATGATAAATAAAGTTAACATTTGCAAGATTTCTTCTAACAGCAACCATACCTTATCTCTGTGGCAGAGCAGCTCAAGAACACGAGCCCCGACAGCATATCCAGCATCCTCCAGTCTAGAGAATTTACATATTAAATACCAAACTAATTTGTATTGACTAGATATAACAAAAAAATTGAAAAAATGTTGTTCTCAAGCTAATTCAATTCTTTTTCACAATAAAACCTAGAATTTTACCTTTTCAAGCATAGTGAAAAGCTACAAATAAAGCATAGAAATATATTAGAATGCAAATCACCTTCGTTCGAGTTCGCCGATATTATCAACCTGAGTTTGGTTGTACTGAACAAGCTCGGAGAACAAGAACGCAAATGCACTCAAACTAACCTGCACCAACAAAAAAATCAAATTAGCATTGAAAAAGTGAGATCTATATTACTGAAGAAGCGGTTGAAGAGAAAAAAGAGCAGATCAAAGTAGGTACCTCAGTCTTGCCCTTGTTAAGGGGCTTATCGAGGACGTTACCGTACTGCTTTATCTTTCCGACTCCGATCATCCTCTTCCTCTTGATGTCCTCACTCCGATTCAGTTTACCCGATTTTAGTACCTCTTCTTTGTTTAATTACATTTTCTTCATAATTTTTAGTTATATGCAATTTTAGTACTCTAATTATTTTTGAGTGATTTTAATCTCTTATTTGAGATATATGGTAGAATATTCATAAAGTTCAGTATTTTTTATCGGTAAAAAAATATTAAATTTTAGTACTTTAATCATTTTTTTTTTTGAGTAATTTTAATTTCTCTAGCTCGGTTGAGTATATAATTAAACTGAACGCAAATGCACTCTTAAAAGAAAAAGAAATAATAAACATTGTTTTCATTACCACAAATATTGAAGGAAAAATATGTTTATTATAAATTTATAAAATTACTTTTGTGTATTATTTACTCTTAATCAAATTTACACATTAATTTTAACTTTTACATTATTCTTAGTTTTACTTATAAGTTAAATTTTTTAAAAAACTATCAACAATATCAAAACTTGTTAAACTTCAAAATATACAATTATATAACTTAAGAATAATATTCTCAATAATAAGATTTTTTTAATTTTCTTTTTAATACATAACTAAAAAAAAAGTAGTATATAATTGAATTATGGATAATCATGTATGGATTAATATCTACTAATTGTCTATTTTCCATGTTTTTATTATTTTTCTCTTATGAATCACATAATTTATCTACGTACTTGCTTGTGTTTATTGTTTTTGCCTTTTTGATATTGTCAAAGCATAAAAAATAGTATATTTTCAGAGAGATTAGGTATACTCTTTATATTTGTTAGAGGAAGTTTAATCACTTCATTCTATTTATATTTGTTAGAGGAAGTTTAATCACTTCATTCTATTATCTCAAGTCTCATTAGAGAAAAGATTCACGATTCCATTAAAGTATCAAAGATAATTAAGCAATGAACTTGAAACTTCAAAAGTTGGAAAAAAGAGAAAGTCTAAAAGTTTGTCTGGTTAGTCATGCGTTTAGGGCGGTGTATGAGTGACTGCGCATTGTAAAATGGGGGATTAATCATAACTTATTAAGGCAGTTCTCACACACTCACATATGTTTTTGAAGACCCTTTCTTTTATTTATAAAACCCTATAAAAATCTTTTTTTGCATATAGCTAGTTGATTAAAAACTCAGATAATCAATTATGAGTGAAAATCACACAGAATAATCTATTATCCAATAGGTCTAGTCGATTATCTCAATTGTACCTTTTCATAATCAATTATTAAGGTTAATAGTTTATTAGTAACGATGCAATTTGAAAATCTTCCATTTTTAACTACATAATCACTTATTTGATATTCACATTGGATTATGAGCATTAAAAATGTCATGAACCATTTTCCTTTTTGAGTTACATTTTATCCTATATAAGGAGGGTGCCTCCTCACTATTTCTCACACTAGAATTCAATTTTAAATCATTCCTATCTCTTTTAACATCTTTCTTATATTCTTTCTTTCACTAAAAGTTGTCTTAGTGTATTTGCAAGTGAAATACTTTTGTGAGGTTTTAGTTGTACTGGTGTTCAACTATTTTATCAAGAGTGTGATTCTCTTGAAGTCTCTCTTGGTTAATTGTGGAGATCATCCTATAAAACCTCTATTTCTTTTTCTCGATATTAGCCAGTCAAAATCTTGTTCTCGTTTCCTGAACTTAGTTTGTGAAAAGCTCTTTTTTAGTTTGAGAGATCAACCATTGTAAAGTCTCTCGGCGATTGAAATAAGGTTTCTGGATATTCCTTGAAAAATCTCAAAAGATTTTATTAATGGAACTCTCAAGAAGTTATTCTCTTGAGGAAATGATTAGGCCAAGATATCGATCGAACCTCTATAAATCCTGGTGCAATCTCTCGTATCCCTTTTTATTTACTTTCAATCATTTGCTTTCTTTTACATCTAATTCCTTCCATTTTTTGGTGCTTTTATCTATATCTTTACCTATACTAAGACAAAATGTTGTTTTTAGTAACTATTCTTAAACTAATCATGAATTTTGAATAACACAATTTACCTCCTATTGTACTTAGAGTCACTTATTCAACACTTTCCACCTTTCAACGATGTATGATGTCTATATTTTATGATATTATTGAAGTAATCATGGAAGTTTTCACGGATATTTTTTCTCTGTATAGATCAAGTTTTGATGATTGTTTGATCAATCTTGAAAGAGTGCTTAGAAGATATATAGAGTTTAACCTAGTATTAAATTGGGAGAAGTTGTTCTTTTATCGTGAGAGGTATTGAGGTAGACAAGGAAAATATATAGGCAATTGGAAATTTGTCACCTCTTACCTCTATAAAAGAGATTTTAAGGAAGCTTTTTAGGGCATGCAATTTTCTCGTAGATTTATTATAGATTTTTCAAAGATTTCTAAGTCATTAATTGTATTGCTTCTTAAGGATAGAGCTTTCGTATTTGATGAACTTTGACTCAAGTCTTTTAACAAGCAGTAAGAAGCATAAATTTCAACCTCGATCACCCAACTACTAGACTGAAGCATACCTTTTCTAAATCGTGTGTGACGCTAGTGACTATGTAGTATGAGTTATCTTAAAATAGAGAAGATATAAGAAATTTTATTATGTCTATTGTGCCAATCGAACTTCGTACAAAGTTTAAGTCATATGCTACCACTCAAAAGGAACTCCCGATAGTCGTTTTCGCCATTGACAATTTTTGATTATATCTAATAGGGTCAAAGATAATTGTCTACACAAATCATACAACCATTAAATGTCTCATGAATAATAAAGATGTCAAGCATAGGTTAATCCACTGGATTCTACTTCTCCAAGAATTCTTCCTTGAAATTCGGGATAAGAAGGGAACAAAAAATGTGGTGTCCAATCACTTTTCCAAGATATATGAAACCAAAAAGGATAAGCTTCCTTTCAATGACTTTTTTCAAAAAAAAAAACAAAAGTTGTTTGCATTAGTTCATAAAGAAGCACCACGGTATGCCAATTTCGTCAATTATTTAATACTTAGATTTTTACCTTCAAATTTGATCCATCAGCATAAGAAGAATTTCTTCTTTGATTTAAAACATTGCTACTTAAACGAACCTCTGCTTTTCAAGAGATGAAGAATGGAACATTCAAAATGTGCATTTCTGAAGAAGAAATATAAAGTCTCATGAATAACCACATTGAAGATACTCTAAGCCATATTTCATTAGGTCAGTCTTATCAAAGACATGAATAAATTTGTCACCAACTGCGGTCAATACCAACGAACCTGTAACATTTCAGAAAGATATCATGTGCCTTTGAAAAACATCCTTGAAGTCGATATTTTTTATGTTTTGGTAATTAATTTTATGGGACTATTCCCATCCTCAATTGGAAACTAGTACATCCTCGTCACAGTTGAATATGTATCCAAGGGGACTGAAGCGATAGTTGCTCTGAAAATGATACAAAAGTAGTAATTAAAATATTTAAGAAGAATATTTTTTTGGAGGTTTGTTGTTCTCTCTTTGTTGCCAAAAAGATTGAAAATATGTTTAAAAAATTTAGAATTAAGCACGAGGTTGCAACACTGTATCATCTCTAGATCAGTGGCCAAGTAGACATCTCGAACAAAGAAATTAAAAACATCCTATAAGAGACTCTCACTTTCCTAAAAAAGGATTGGGCCTTGAAATTAGATGATGGAATATGGGCTTACCAGACAACATATAAGACACTGATTGGGGATGACTCCTTTTAAATTATGTTTGTAAGATTACGAGATGTTTACAAATAGAGGCGAAGACAAATAAATTGAAATACAAATGAGTGAACTCAGAAGAAAAATATCAAATCACCAGTTCGGACAAAATAATTTGCTTTTTTCCTGACACATTCGTGTGTCACCATCTGCTGAACCACCCCTACGACATTGTCATCTTTCAACATTCTTGTTGCTTTTTATCCTTTTGACTTCTGACAATCTTATTTTCTTTCTATTCATTGCTAATGGTTTTAAGGTATACTTCTTATACTTTTTTTCATCTCTCTAAAGTCACAAAATTATGAAGGATATTCTTACTATAGTTAAGGTATTATATCACCATCTAAGTGATGCCTATTATTTGCACGACCTCTTTGAGGAAAAAATAAATCTTTGTTTAAATAAAACAATTGAAGATAACAAGGTCACATGTCAAATATGACAAGGATACATATGTTTTCAAAAATAAAGTCAACACTTAATTTCAAATTAATTGTGATGGATAAACCATATAGTCAAAACTTTGCTAGTCAGTGATATGAAAATGGTAAAGTAAATCATTGTCATTTGTTTGTCTAAAACACTCAGGAGAAGGCAAACTTTACGTCAAGCACTTGTATATACTAAAAACAAATGAGGATAAATTCTCATAGGCAAAATCAATAAGTAAATTGACAGTGACATTTTTTAGGGAGCATCTGTTACACTTGAATTTTTCAGTTAGTAGAAAGTCAACAAGAATTTCAATGAGAGACATTTGTTGTGAGAAAGCATTAATGAAGTGTTTTATATAGCATTAACGATGAAACGTCGATGAACTAATAACGAGGGATCAACCGAGCCGTCGACACTAACAAATATGGTTTAGAGAAATTTCAGGGATAAATTCCCAAGGCCTAAATCGCTGGGAAACATGTCTAAAATCTTGAAAAGGGCAGTTGACAAAAGCCTTTATTTCAAGAAGACCAGTCAACTGAACCACGTAAGGGGAAAGACTTAGTAAATCTACAAGTCCAAAAGCCTTGATAGTTAGCGTCGACAACATGTTGGAGCAGTTACCATCGAGGGTTCATGGGGAAGTTGGAAGCAGTTACAACTCAACATGGGTTTTACACATATGGTATCGTGGATAACACGTAAACATACCAATGGGAACTTGAAGTTTGAACGTGGAATCAATGTATCAACCTCTCAATGGTCATAACCTTCATCGATGATTACTTTTAAAATAGAATAAATAGAAGACTCATGCATAAGAT